TACTACCACTCTCAATAATACCTGAAGACTGAGGCTACGAAAGCTTGTTTTTTCAAATAAACCTGTTGGACTATAACCTGGCGTCATGTGATTTCTGATGAAGATCATTTAAAAGATAGGAACAGGACTAGACCATTTGCCTCTTCAAGTTCTCCATGGTCACAACTGATATGATTGTGACCAATTAACCCGCTTTCCCGTCTCATGCCCCCATAACTTTCAGTTCCCTTGAGAGAGATCAAAAATCTGTCTAAATTGTCAGTCATACAGCATGGAAACAGACCCTTCAATCCAACTCGCCCACACTGACTAGAAAACCTAATTTGACTTAGTCCAATTTGCCAGCATTTAGCCCATATCCCTTTCAACCCTTCCTATTCATATACCTATCCAGATGCCTTTTAAATGTTGTAATTGTTATCCTTCCTTATTTAAGAAGACCATACTGTATCCAACAGTGCAGAGTACTCAAGATGTGGTTTCTCCAAATCCCTATGTATTGAAACAGAACCGCTTTTTGTATATTTTTGTAATTCCTTCTTCTTGTAAAAATAGTACTGTTAGCTTCTCTAATTGATTTGTTTAATGCTAGCCTTCTGCAATTCATGGACTAGGACCCTAAGATCCCTCTGCAATCTTTCACCATTTAGATAATATGTTCTTTTTTATTGTTCCTGCTGAAAGTGGCCTTTAAGGAATGAAATTTGCCATCCTTACCTAGTCTGGCCTACATGTGAATGAATTTAAAAAAAGGAAAATTTCACATTTTTTCTGCATTCTCCCCTATTTGCCAAATCTTTGCCCATTTTTGTAGCCGCCTTATGATCTCTTTTGACTTACTTTCCTACTTTCAGACTATGAAAGAAGCAAAAAGGAAGGGTAACTCAGGAGATATTATTAGAGATGTTGGAAATCATGAGGGTAAGAAAGCTAGCATAAAGGCACTTTACCTGAATGCTCGTAGCATTCGTAACAAGGTTGATGAGTTAACGGCACAAATCATCGTGAATGAATATGATTTGGTAGCCATTACGGAGACATGGTTACAGGATGGTCACGACTGGGAGTTAAATATCCAAGGGTACCAGACTATTCAGAAGGACAGACAGGAAGGTAAGGGAGGTGGTGTAGCCCTGATATTCAAGGACGCCATCAGGGCAGTGCTGAGAGATGATATAGGTTCTATGGAGAATGAGGTTGAGTCCATTTGGGTGGAAATTAGAAATCCTAAGAGGAAAAAGTCACTGATAGGCGAAGTCTATAGGCCACCAAATAATAACATCACATTGGGGCGGGCAATAAACAAAGAAATAACTAATGCTTGTAAAAATGGTACGGCAATTATCATGGGGGATTTTAACCTACATGTAGATTGGTCGAACCAGCTCGGTCAGGGTAGCCTTGAGGAGGAGTTCGTTGAGTGTATCCGTGATAGTTTTCTTGAACAGTATGTAATGGAATCAACGCGGGAGCAAGCGATCCTAGACCTGGTCCTGTGTAATGAGACAGGAATAATTAATGACCTCATAGTTAGGGATCCTCTTGGAAGGAGTGATCACAGTATGGTTGAATTTAGAATACAGAAGGAGAGTGTGAAGATAAAATCCAATACAAGGGTCCTGTGCTTAAACAAGGGGAACTACAATAGAATGAGGGTGGACTTGGCTAAAGTAAACTGGAAACAAAGATTTTATGGTGGGACAGTTGACGAGCAGTGGAGGACTTTCAAAGCAATCTTTCAAAGTGCTCAGCAAAAGTATATTCCAATGAAAAGGAAGGACTGTAAGAAAAGGGGTAATCTGCCATGGGTGTCTAAAGAAATAAGGGAGGCTATCAAATTGAAAGAGAAGGCATACAAACTGGCCAAAAACAGCATGAAACTAGAAGATTGGGAAAACTTTAAAGGTCAACAGAAAGCCACAAAAAGAGCTATAAGGAAAAGTAAGATAGAACATGAGAAAAAACTAGCACAGAATATAAAGACAGATAGGAAAAGTTTCTATAACTATATAAAACGAAAAAGAGTGGCTAAAGTAAACATTGGCCCTTTAGAGCATGAGAAGGGGAATTTAGTTATGGGATATGATGAAATGGCCGAGGCATTGAACAGGTATTTTGTATCGGTCTTCACAGTGGAAGACACTAATAACATGCCAGTAATAGACAAAGAGACGAAGGTAGGTGAGGACCTGGAAACAATCATAATTACAGAAGAGGTAGTGTTGGGCAAGCTAATGGAGCTAAGGATTGATAAGTCTCCTGGCCCTGATGGAATGCATCCCAGGGTACTAAAAGAGATGGCGGGAGAAATAGCGGTGCACTGGTGGTAATTTTCCAAAATTCGCTGGACTCTGGGGCAGTCCCAGCAGATTGGAAAACAGCAAATGTGACGCCCCTGTTTAAAAAGGGAAGTAGACAAAAGATGGGGAATTATAGACTGGTTAGCTTAACCTCTGTAGTGGGGAAGATGCTTGAGTCTGTTATCAAGGAAGAAATAGGAAGGCATCTTGATAGAAATTGTCCCATTGGGCAGACGCAGCATGGGTTCATGAAGGGCAGGTCATGCTTGACAAATCTTCTGGAATTCTATGAAGACATTATGATCGAGGTGCACAATGGGGACCCAGCGGATGTGGTGTACCTAGACTTGCAAAAGGCCTTTGACAAGGTGCCGCACAAGAGGCTACTGCATAAGATAAGGATGCATGGCATTAAGGGTAAAGTATTAGCATGGATAGAGGATTGGTTGACTAACAGGAAGCAAAGAGTGGGGATAAATGAGTGCTATTCTAGCTGGCAGTCAGTGACTAGTGGTGTGCCTCAGGGATTGGTGTTGAGACCGCAATTATTTACAATTTATATAGATGATTTGGAGCTGGGGACCACGTGTAGGGTGTCAAAGTTTGCAGATGACACTAAGATGAGTGGCAAAGCAAAGTGTGCAGAGGACTGTGAAACTTTGCAGAGGAACATAGATACATTGAGTGAGTGGGCAAAGGTCTGGCAGATGGAATACAATGTAAATAAATGTGAAGTCATACAATTTGGTAGGAGTAATATTAAAAAGGATTATTACTTGAATGGTAAAAAGTTGCAGCATGCTGCTATGCAGAGGGACCTGGGTGTCCTTGTGCATGAATCACAGAAGGTAGGTCTGCAGGTACAACAAGTAATTAGGAAGGTAAATGGAATTTTGTCCTTCATTGCTAAAGGGATTGAAATAAAAAGCAGAGAGGTTATGTTGCAGCTGTACAAGGTGCTGTGAGGCCACACCTGGAGTACTGTGTGCAGTTTTGGTCTCCTTACTTGAGAAAGGATGTACTGGCACTGGAGGGGGTGCAAAGGAGGTTCACTAGGTTGATTCCTAGTGAATCAACTAGGAGTCGAGTTGAGGGGGTTGGCTTATGAGGAGAGACTGAGTAGATTGGGATTATATTCATTGGAATTCAGAAGATTGAGGGGGATCTTATAGAAACATATAAAATTATGAAGGGAATAGATAAGATAGAAGTAGAGAGGATGTTTCCACTGGCAGGTGAAGCTAGGACAAGAGGGCATAGCCTCAAGATTAGAGGGAGCAAATTTAGGACTGAACTGAGAAGGAATTTCTTCACCCAGAGGGTTGTTAATCTATGGAATTCCTTGCCCAGTGAAGTAGTTGACGCTACTTCAGTAAACGCTTTTTAAAAAAAAAAGGTAGATTTTTTTTGAACAATAAAGGAATTAAGGGATACGGTGAGAACGCGGGTAAGTGGATCTGAGTCCACGAAAGGATCAGCCATGATCTTATTGAATGGCGGAGCAGGCTCGAAGGGCCAGACGGCCTACTCCTGCTCTTAGTTCTTATGTTCTTATGTACCCATCTTTGTGCCATCAGCAAATGTAGCAACCATACCTTTGGTCCCTGCATCCAAGTCATTTATATTAATTGTAAAAGGTCGAGGCCCAAGCATTGATCTCTGTGGCACACCACTCACTCACTACATCTTCCCAACTAGAAAATGACCCATTTATTCACTGTTCCTTGTTAGCTAGTCAATTTTCTGTCCATGTCAATATGTTTCACCCTGCACATTGAGCATTTAGTTTCCACAATAAACTTTGCAGCATCTTATCAAATGCTTTATGGAAATACAAGTACAGTACATCTATCAGTTTCTGTTTTTCCACAGCATGTTACTTCTTAAAAGAACTCCAATAAGTTAAACATGACTTCTTTTTCGCAATACCATGTTGACTCTCCCTGAATACCATTAAGTTTTCAAAGTGCCCTCCTATAATGTCTTTAATATTAATTTCTAACATCTTCCCTGCAGCAGGTGCTAACCTAACTAACTTGTAGCTCCTGCTTTCTTTCCCTCCCTTCTTGAATTACATTTGCTGTTTTACAATGTAATGGAACCTTCCCAGAAATGTTGTAAGTTTTTCAGATTTCAGTGAAGAGGAAAACAAATTACCTGAGGAAATAGTTATTGGAAAGATGGTCTTCAGTAAGGTAGATTGGAGCACTCCAGAGATTAAATTACTTTGATTAATTTTACTCAAGGGAATTTCCTAGTCTTTTCAGTCATGCTGCAATCCTCTCCCTAAAACACTTTCTGCACAACCCAAATTTGTGCATACATGTCAATTTTTCTTAAGTTTATCCAACCAAACCCATTTACAAACTTACTTTGTGTCCAATTCACTGGAGTCCATTTCCAGAGTGAACTGGTCTTGGATTCCTGTTCATATTCTGCCCCGTTGTGATTTACTGTGCTGCTTTCTGACGTACCCTTAAAAAAACCAGAATATGAAGGAAGTCAATTGTATTTAACTGTCTATAATACAGATTGTGTAAACAGGACAAAACATGTTGACACCGATCTTATTAAGCAGTTATCCATGCCTTCAGCAATAGAGATCTTGCATTTGTGAGAGTGTTTCTTTATGATTTTGAGGCTGATAAAATCAACATCTCATTCTCATATTTTTAATTATATTGTGTTCTTTATTTATAGTTGATATAAGCACAGCATTGCCTCCACAAGTCCAGCCCAGTACACCAATGGATCTTCGCCTTGATCATCAGTTTCCAGTGCCAGCTGCTGACCCCAATGTACAAGAACAACAACTACAACAAGAACTCATTGCTCTGAAACAAAAACAGCAAATCCAACGTCAACTTCTAATAGCAGAATTTCAGAGACAACATGAGCAGCTCTCACGACAACATGAAGCCCAACTGCAAGAACATATAAAGGTAACCCAAGATATTAAAACCACACTGACCGATTCAAGCTGGATCTTTGACTTTTTTTATCATAATGGTGTGTGTGTTCTGAACTCCAGTATAAGGATATAGTTAATCTGATACTGTCATTTCAGCTATTGTCATGGATTATTTCTAACAGCATCTTGTATTCCTTACAACACTGAATGGAGTCATTATGTAACATGTCTCAAGGTGCTTATGAGCAATATGAATAAAAAGGCAGATCCACAGAATGAGATATCAGAACAGATGCACAAAAAAATTTTATCAAAAGCTAGGTTTTACCATTTAAGCAATGGGAACAATGTATCGAACCATCTAAGTCCATCTTAAGGAACCAGAACTATAATAATTACTTCCAGTTCTTTCAACACAATAAGGCTATAAAGATAAACATTGCTGCAAAGTTAAAGGTGTATTATGATAATGGCACAATGACCATGAGTGGTCTTTTGCTGTCGCCTGAAAATTAAGTCAGTGATATTGTTTGGTTCTGATTTTTTTTTTGTTTGAGATAAAGACTTGTAAAAGAAAATCTGTCTTTGGCATATGTGATAATTAAATAGTAGCCCAACATGCTACTTCTAATGTCACTGCTTCTATACTTGCATTGGGAAGTGAACTTCATAAGTATGGTGCCAAATCTTTAATTGAGAATTGGAACAGAATGTTGGTACAAGTTCTGGATCTAACCCCACTGCAATGTTTAATGTACCAGCCATTTAAAGGTCAGGCTTGCCATGTGGTCGATCACAGTGGACTGCTCCAATTGGCTCAGACCAGCAGCCCAGGTGGAGTCATTGGTGCAAGGGTGCAGCCAGTGAGGGACACGGGAAATTAAGCTAGTTTTTTTTTCAAAATGCAAGTTCCCTGGTCTTGATTTAGGAAGGGCAACTCTTCCAGAGCAAGGCCAGAGGCAACAATTATGGAGCTGAAGGATGGGAAATGGTCCCTCAGTTGAATCACCTCCTCCCCACTTACCTCCCTGACATGCTCCAGGTCAACCCGTGTAAACTGCATTGCTGACTGGCCCAGTCAATGTGCAGTCGGGGTCTTAATAGGTGACTTAATAGATTAAATTCTGACAAGCCTAATTTGGCCACCTGTTGCTTGCTGGTGGCAGCCTACCTGAGTCAAAGCCAGCCTTTCTCAGTCAGTTGGAATTGTGGTGGAGAATTGCATGGAGACTGGCAGTGCTAAATTGCACACTTGCTCAAATTTCAACTGGACCTCAGCGTTTCTTTTTAACAATCCAACCACTGAAGTCAATTGAAGTCCAATTATTCTGACTGAAGGTTTCCTTGGATTGACCGTTGCTTACTAGCACACCATAACTTCAGTTCCTTCAATGTCAGAAAAACAAAACAAGTGAATTTCCTCTTTTTATTCAAAGTTTTGTTAGTTTTACACAAAGTGACAATGGGAATGTTGTAGGCACTTGAGGGCCAAATGGCCTACTAATGTTTGTATTACTGATATTCTCTATGAATTACATCTTTATAACTTAGACCTGTGTAATTTCTGACACGATGTTCACTGTTCCCAATAAATTGAGGCTTTTGGATGTTTAGGATTTTGCATTTTGCTTAGGATTAGGATTTCTCTGCAGCAAAATAGAGGCAAAGCTGTTTTGGTACCCTGCAACACAATACACTAGAGCTGTAATGTGCATTATGATTCGGTTTTCTTACTGTCTCTCAAATAAATTCATTTTTTTGGATGAATTCAATATTAGTGAACAACTTTTTTTCAATGAAATGTTCTATAGTTCCTCAGATGTAAGATTTTCTATATAACTGCAGTATCGTACAAAATTAGGGCTGGATTTCCCTCTCTTGAAGCCATGTTGACTCTGCTTGATCATTTTATGTATTTCTATATGTTCTACATCCTTTATAATAGACTTTAACATTTCCAAATAACAGGCTAACTAACCTATTGCTACCTGCTTATGTCATCTTTTTTTAAATAAAGATGTTACATTAGAAGTTTTCCAATCCTCTGGGACTTCTCCAGAATCTAAGGATTCCTGGAAGAGTATTGCTAGTGCATTCATTACCTATATAGCTATTTCGTTTTACATCCTAGGATGTATCCCACCAGGTCCAAGGAACTTCAGTCCTGAAGAAGGATAATACCCGAAACGTTGACTGCTCCTTTCCTCCAGATGTTGCCTGGCTTGCTGTGTTCTTCCAGCCTCCTGTCTGTCTACCTTGGATTCCAGCATCTGCAGTTTTTTTTTGTCTTTAGGTCCAAGGAACTCAATGGTCTTTAGCCTCATAGTTTCCCCAGTACTTTTTCTCATATTGATAGTTGTTGTATTTATTCCCCCTCCTCTTTTTTCCTCCTGAAGACTTAGTAATTTTTGAATGCGGTAGCATTCTATGGTAGTGTCTTCTACTGTGAAGACTAATACAAAGTATTTATTCAACCCCTTTTGCATTTCCTGGTTTCCCATTATCATTTCCCCACCCTCATTATCTTAGCAGCCTCAGTTCACTTTGATTTCTCTTGTTCTTTTTATATATTTAAAGATGCTCTTGCAGTCCATCTTGATATTACTTGCAAGTTTATCTTCAAAGTTTATTTTCTCCTTCATCATTATTTTCTAGTTGTCTTTTGTGGTTTTTAAAATTTTTCCAGTGTCTGGCTTACATCTAATCTTTGTCACATTTTGTATATTTTTTTCTTTCAATCTGATGCTATCCTTAACTTCCCTGTTTAACCATGGTTGGCTTATCCCTTTCCTAGAATCCTTCTTCCTTCCTGACTAGCATGTATCCTTGTTGTGTGCCATGAATTATTTTCTTAAATGTCTGCCGTTGTTCCTCAATCATTCTTGGTGTTAAACTTCTTCCCGAGAGCACTTCAGCCAAATCCACTCTCATACCTTTGTAATTACCCTTACTTAAGCTTAACACAGTTGCTTCCGACCCAAGTTCCTCCATCTCTAATAAAAGATAAATTATACTATCTTATGGTCACTGTTTCCGAGGGGATCTTTTACTCTGACACCTTTTATTAAACTTACCTCATTACACATCATCAGGTCCAAAACAGTCTGATCCTTGGTCGAATACACAACACGTTGTTCTGTGGAACTGTCCTGAATGCACCCTATGAGTTTTCGCTCAGAACTTCTGCCAATCTGACTGTCCTATTCTATGTGAAGATTAAAGTACTGCATTTGTTACATGCCCTCATTATCTCCTGATTTATTCTCTGCCCCTCCATTTAGCTACTGTTGGGGAGCCTGTAGACTACTACTACCAGTGTCTTTCCTTTTTTATTTCATGCCTCCACCCATATGAATTCTGCATCTTTTGATTCAGGATCATTTCTTGCTGTCGTGCATATTCCATCCTGCACCACCAATACTACTGCACCACCCTTTCCATCCTGTCTGATCTTTTGAAAAGTCACATGCCCCTGAATATTGAATTCCAGGCTTTCATCTCCTTGTAACCATGTCTCCTTTATGGCTATAAGATCATACCCGTAAACCTGTAATTGTGCAGTTAAATCATCTATTTTATTCCAAATATGATGTGCATTCGAGTAAGGGACCATTATGTCTTGCTAATACCTCTTTTCCCCCCTCTTTGATCCTATTTACTGCTGCTTTTCTATGGTTGTAAACTCAGTTGCTTTCTGTCCCATTCTGGACATAGTCATTCAAATAGCTGGCCAGTAATTCTGCCAAATTTTCTTGCTTTGTAAGCATATATTTCCCATCTCCCAAACCTTCCCTCACCATTCTGGTTCTGCAGAAATCATGCATGGAGTTCTGGGAAAGATGTGTGTTCATTTGGGAGATAGCAATACATTGAAGAACTTCTGTAGCCAAAAGAGATGTTGGAGATGGGACGGCAGCTAGTTTATTGACGTCTTGGGCTCAATTGTTTGCCGTTGAGGGTAATAGCAGATTTTAATGAGAGGAGGACAACATCTGAAAAGTGTGAACTGTTCACAATATTAGCTGACATGGGGCAAGAATAGAGAGTTGTGATATATGCTTGTTAAGAGCAGGACTCCTGGCAAAATGGGCCATGTGAAGTTCACCTGACAAAGGAGCATCACCTTCCCTGGCAGGGCGTTCCAGGCACCAACCACCTACTGTGTTTAAAAAAAAAAAGAAAAAAAAAGAACTTGCCTCACACATCTGCCTTAAACTTTCCCCCTGTCACCTTAAACCTGTGTCCCCTGGTATTTGCCATTTCCACCCTAGAAAAATACTCTGACTGTCTACCCTATCCATGCTTTTCATAATTTTATATACTTCTATCAGGTCGCCCCTCGGCTTCTGACACTCTAGCTAAAACAATCCAAGTTTGTCTACCCTTTCCTTATAGTTCATACACCTCCAATCTAGGCAAAACCCTGGTAAAGCTCTTGCACACCCTCTCCGAAGTCTCTACATCCTTCCTGTAGTGTGGAGACCAGAACTGCACACTACTCCAAATGTGGCCTAACTAAAGGCCTATACAGCTGGAACATGGTGTGCTAACTTTTATACTCATTGCCCCAACCAACGAGCATGTAGTACACCACCTCTACCATCTCATCCACTTGTGTTGCCACTTTGAGGGAACTATGGACTTGGACCCCAAGATTCCTCTGTATATCAGTGTTCCTAAGGCTCCTGCCATTTCCTGTATACTTTTCTCTTGTATCTAACATCCCAGAAAACATCACCTCACACTTGTTCAGATTGAACTCCATCTGCCATTCCTCCACCCAACTTTCCAGCTGATCTACATTCTGCTGCATCTTTTGATATCCTTCCTCACTATCTACAAATCCAACAATTTTTGTATTGTCTGCAAACTTACTAATCAGACTACTACATTTTCACCCAAATCATTTGTATTTATTGCGAACAACAGAGGTCCCAGCACAAATCCTTGTGGGACACCACTGGTCACAGACTTCAAGTCAGAAAATGGCCCTACACAACTACCCTCTGTCTCTATGTCCAGGCCAATTTTGTAGCCAACTTACCAACTCATCATGGTTCCCATGTAAACTTAATCTTCTGGACCATCCTACCAAGAAGGACCTTGTCAAAGGCTTTACTAAAGTCAATGCTTTAGTAAGTAGACAACATCCATTGCCCCACCCTCATTAATCTTCTTTGTCACTTCATCAAAATCCTCAATCAAATTTGTGCGATAAGATTTCTCTGCACAAAGCCATGCTATTTCTAATAAGTCTATTCTTTTCCAAACGTGTCAATCCTGTCCCTTAGAATCTTCTCCAAAATGTTTCCGTACCAATGATGTAAGGCCTATAATTTCCTCGATCATCCCTGTTACCCGTCTTAAAGAAAAGACATTAGCTATTCTGCAGTCTTCTGGGACCTTGCTAAAGAGGATACAAAGTCTCTGTCAAGCTGGAAAGATTGTTATGCAGAAAAGCTAAGCAACTATCAATTTAGAGAAACTTTCAGTAACAATATTCGTCTTAAATTGGCTTCAGAACTTTATGTAAAACTCCTCCACTCTGAAAGTACACAAGAAGTGGCCTTAAAGGAGGAAGCTAAGTTAATGTTTATGTATTGTGCATGCTTTTAGACTCTGATTACTAATTCTTTAAATATTTGTTCACGGGACGTGATCATCACTGGCAAAGCCAACCTTTTCGTCTCCTCTAATTGTCCTTGAGAAGGTCCCCCAGCGAGCTGCCACCTTAAGTTAATGGAGTCCATGTTACAAAAAGTTACTGGTTTAAGTTTTCATAAGTAACAACATGACTACATATCATTCTAGAATATATCAATATGCTGACCTGTGAATAACAGCGGATTCAATGTAGGAATATTGATTATGATGCCTAATTTTTTTTAAAAATTACATATAAAAATATATATGACCAATCGTAATAGGGAAAAGAGCAAAAACAAGCAATATATATTGGGCAATCAAAAGGAACAAAGCAGGTTCAATAAAGAAAAAGCTGAATGCGAATAAGAAAACTGAAGGTGGTGTTTGAGATCTCCTTTACTCTTCAACTATATTTGACTAAGCTCCATCTGTGTTCATACGTCAATTGATAGTAATTCAGGTTGAACTGATAATTAAAGAAAATTTCTGCCTGAAGTACTTTGTCCAATGCATTTATTTAACCTCAAAATATATGTAAAAGTTACCTCTCTTTTAAGAGAATTTTCAATTTACATTTTTGATCTCCTCTATCTTGTCAGGGAGCAACTGTTACGCCATTTGTGTGTGACAGGTGGTGATAATAATCCATGTGTAATGCAAGCAATGAAAATTATACCAAACCTTTAACCAGTATCACCACCAAAGTTAAACCACAAACAGCTGGAGTGGTTTCAGTGTACGCTAACTTGACTGTCAGCAAAGTTCTGAGGAAGGGTCACTGGACCTGAAACGTTAACTCTGTTTTTTCCTTCACGATGTTGCCAGACCTGCTGAGCTTTTCCAGCAACTTTGTTTTTGTTCCTGAAAGCAAAGAGTTAGTTTTTCACATCAGTTGTCATTACCCAGCAAGAATGAAGTTGCGTGAACAGAGTATGTTAAAACAATAGAAGAATACACTTGAAATCTGTAGTATGGAGTGTTTTCGGTATTGCATATATTCTTATTCATACGTTGGAAAAATAGTGAATGGGGAAGGATAAATTGCCTAATGTAAGGAGTTCTTGGACCACAGTTTTGGAAACTGTTTAAGATGTTTAAAATATTTGTTTTCTTTTTGTTGTCAAACAATAATATAAGAATTGCTCTTTTTAAGGAAGTCAACAAAATGTGTTTTTAGACTTGTGACCTAATGTGACAGCGCTACCCTCAATTACGAAATTACTTCAGAAGGACATATTTAGAAAATTATCTATGATTCAGTATTCCCCGTTTCTGCTTCAAAATATAAAGTAGCATATAATAATGACTTCTGAGTTTCATTGAATGGAGACATAGTTCAATGAAGCCACTTTGTAACATCACTGACCATGAATGTTTTGACAAGACAGTTCGGGTCCTGAATCCTCTTAATTTCTCTACTCAGTCATGAACATAATGACCACCACTTACATTATCTAAGATAGAGCAGCCCATTTAATTAACCTAGCTAAATTCAGTATCCAGCTTCTACCACACCCACCACTGTGGCTATAATATCTGCTATCTATAGGTTAACAACAGTACTGTATACCAAGAAGCTCTGCCATTGTGAAAAACAAGCAGCAAAACGATGAGCGTGGCAACACCTGCAGATTTCCCTCCAAGTTGCGTATCATCTTCACTTGGACATATATCACTTCTTTTGTGATCACTTGATCTTAATCTTAGAAATTTGCTCCCAACACCATCTGGAGTATCATTAGACTAAAGTCATTTTGAGAGAAATTCCACCATTACCTATGCAGGATAACTATGAATGAGCAGTAAACGTGGCTTTTCTAGCACTGTTTACATTCTGAGAACAGAAAAGAAACTCCATTTTAAATAATGGTTGTCTAAATCAATTAAGAGCTTATGCAAAACTGCTTATATCATCAAAGCCAACCCCAAGTCATAATCTTCCACTACTCCCCCAGCCAGCAACCATTGCTTTAGTTACGCTGCCTATGGAATACGCTCCATCTACAATTTTGCAACAGGGTAGAGACAACCAATCAGGTTGTCGAGATATACTAAAACATTGACTGTTTTCTCTGTGGCTTATTGTTTGATATTGATGTGCCCTAGTACAGTCTATGATAAGCTGTTACAGAACCAAACATTGGCAAGTGCAAAATTGACTTCCAACTTGGAGGTGGTCGTTGAGCAGTACTGAGTATGTCAGAAAAGAACAATGTTGATTCGAATAGGCTGTACTTCAGAGGGCCTTGATAGGCATATTACAGAAGGATGCCTGCCTGAAACAAATCATACATTTTGGTATGTTAGCTGTTATTTAGAAACTGTTATTTAGAAATTTTGCAGTTACGGAGGATTTAGTGCAAAAATTTGCATTGGTACTGTAGGGAGGGGTTTAGTTATTATATCATTCAAATGTAAATATAAACTGCTTACTGATAATAGAATAGAATCCCTACAGTGTGTAAACAGGCCATTCGGCCCAGTAAGTGCACATCAACTCTCCAAAAAACGTCCAACGCAGATTCGCCCCCATCACTGCACCTCCCATGGCTAATCCACCTAACACATCCCTGGACACAATGGGCAATTTAGCATGGCCAATCCACCTAACCTTCACATCGTTGGACTGTGGGAGGACACCAGAGCACCTGGAGGAAACTCACGCAGACACTGGGAGAATGTGCAACCTCTACACAGACAGTGCCCAAGGATGGAATTGAACCCGAGTCCCTGGTACTGTGAGGCAGTAATGCTAACCACTGAGCTACCGTGCCAGATGATTAAGCTGGAAGGGATTCAGAAAAGATTTACCAGGATGTTGCTGGGAATGGAGGGTTTGTGTTATACGCATAAGCTGGGACTTTTTTTTTGTCTGAAGTCTAGGAGGTTGAGAGGTGACCTTATAGAGGTTTATAAAATCATGAGGGGTATAGACAAGGTGAATGGCAGATGTCTTTTCCCTAGGGTGGGGGATTCAACTAGGGGGCATATTTTTAAGGTAAGAGGAGAAAGATTTAAAAAAGACATGAGGGACAACTTTTTACATGGAGTGGTTCGTGTGTGGAACAAACTTCCAGAGGAAGTAGTGGATGTAGGTACAATTAGAACATTTAAAAGACATTTGGATAAGTACATGAATAAGAAATGTTTAAGGGGATATGGACCAAGCGCAGGAAGGTGGCACTAGTTTAGTTTGGGGTTTGGCATGGACTGGTTGGACCAAAGGGTGTGTTTCGTGCTGTATAACTCTATGACTCTCGCTGTTTTTGTTTTTTAAGCACCAGCAGGACTTGCTTGCACTGAAGCACCAACAAGAAATTTTGGAACAACAGCGTAAACTGGAACAGCATCGTCAAGAGCAGGAGATGGAGAAACAACACAGAGAACAGAAACTAATGCTGCTAAAGAATAAAGAGAAAGGAAAAGAAAGTAAGACATATAACAACTGTTAAGCTTTAATAGGAATAGCCCGCAAAATATATGGCTCAAAAAGAGTTTCGTTGCTCCAGTAGTTCGCATTGTAAGTTAAAAGCATGTCTGGAAATCATTTAGATATTCTTTACTCTGCATTTTAGTACTGTATTTGTTTTAGCAGTTCATTTAAATGTTTTGCTCACTTTATCTGAACTCTAATTAGGAGTTTATTTGTTGTTTCTGGTTCAGATAGATATATTGGTGTAGCACATGTACTCCCTGCAGTTCTCATGCCCTTTATTTAACCAACTTGGCTAAGTGCATTGACATTGCTTTTGTAGTATTTATGATGTTGGTAACGGAATCAATTGATCATTTTATCAAGAAGTATTTCTACTCTATTAAAATCTATTTACAACACAATAAAGATATATAGAATAGAATTTTTATTTTTGAGTACGTCCTCAGTTTTGCATACCGTGAACCTGTTATCCAATTCAAGAAATGTTGAGGAAAATCTTGTAGTGTTGTGTGTTTCTTTGGCTTTTCAATTTTTGTGGATCAAAAATACCTGATTTAATTATTTTTTAGAAATGATTTATGCACCAAATTCACATTATAATCAGTTTTTGTTTATTTATTCAAAAATGTCATTATTAAAGATCTTTCCGGCAGTTTATACGTGAACATAACCTTTGAACAGATTTATGAAGGACAAGTACATCCTGAAATCAAAAATTAGGCTAAGACCTTAATTTATAAACACAACCTGTTGAAGTAGGCACTGCAGTTTAGTGACTGTATTGTAGATCTGCAAAGTGAAGTTCTAAATACACGCCATAGATAAACAGTGAGTTGTAAGATTGTAATTGAGTTTACATAGCTTGTTTGTCATCAATGACTTTTATAGTAGATGAGAAACATTTAACATTTATGTCCACCGATCTGTGGGATTAAAATTTCAGAGGTATTTTGTATGGTAGCTTTGTCAGTTATATGTACATTATTGTCATTGAAATTCTTGTGTTGATATCCAGTTTATGTTTAGTTCATATGTAAGGTACATACAAAGCATTTGAGCATGAATATAAAATGATTTTCTCCAAAAATATGTAAAACAGATGCATAGAGAATTTACTGTTTCTGGTAAGCTTTATTGCAGCTCACACCTGATGGAGATCAAATCCTTTGATTGTAATGAGATTACCAGTTTTAATGTTGCACTTCTGACTTGAAACTAATGCTTAAATCTGTCTGTAGTTTATCAACCTCAGTTGAATGTTACTGTGGTAGTTACTCTAGGAAATTGAATAGGCAATTTTTGGACAGACCATTTCCACCCAGGAACACTTCCTACAAACATCTCACCTAAAATAAAGTAGCCTGAATAATCCATGCCTTCATTGTAAACTTTAAAAAATTCATTGTTTTTTAAAATAGTAATTTGTGTCTGGTCACATTTAAGTATTTCCACTCACCCATGTTGTTTACAGTTTTCTGTTCTCTTGCAAAGCTTGCTTTGAGTCAAAATGTTGGAGTTTTTTTTCACTGACTTTTTTGTGATTTTAATTTTGGTGAAAGTCCTCACGATCTTCGCTAAATTCAAAATGTTCATCCTTTAATTTTTTAAAAATTCATTTGTGGGATGTGGGAATTACTGACTCGCCAGTATTTATTGCCCATCCCTCGTTGCCCTTGAGAAGGTGGTGGTGAGCTGCCTTCTTGAACCACTGCAGTCCACTTGATGTGGGGTGACCCACAATGCCATTAAGGAGGGAATTCCAGTATTTTGACCCAGCGACAGTGAAGGAACAACAATATATTTCCAAGTCAGGATAGTGAGTTACTTGGAGGGGAAGTTGAAGGTGGTGGTGTCCCCATATACCTGCTGCCCTATCCTTCTAGATGAAAGTGGTCATGGGTTGGAAGCTGCTGTCTGAGGATCTTTGGTGAATTTCTGTAGTGCATCTTGTAGATAGTACACATTGATGCCACTGAACATTGGTAGTAGAAGGAGTGGATGCTTATGGTGGGTTGCTTTGTCCTAGATGGTGTCAAGCTCCTTGAGTGTTGTTGGGGCAACACTCATCCAGCCAAGTAGGGAGTATTCCGTCATACTCATGACTTGTGCCTTGTAGATGGTGGACAGGCTTTGAGGAGTCAGGAAATGAGTTACTCACAGTACTCCTAGCTTCTAACCTGCTCTTGCAGCCACTGTATTTGTGTGGTGAATCCATTTGAGTTTCTGGACAATGATAACCTCCAGGATGTTGATTTTAGGGGGTTCAGTGATGGTAACACTGTTGAATGCCAAGGGGCAGTGGTTAGATTGTCTCTTATTTGTGATGGTCATAGCCTGGTGTTTATGTGACGTGAATGTTACTTGCCACTTGTCAGCCCAAGCCTGGATGTTGTCCAGATCTTGTTGCATTTGTACATGCACAGCTTCAGTATCAAAAGACTCACAAATGGCGCTGAACATTGTGCAGTCACCGGTGAATATTCCCACCTCTGACCTTATGATGGAGGGAAGGTTATTGATGAGGCAGTTTGGGCGAAGGACACTACCTAAGGAGCTCCTGCTGAGATGATTGACATCCAACAACCAAGACTATCTTCCTATGTGTCAGGTATGACTCCAGCCACCGGAGAGTTTGCCCCCTAATACCCATTGATTCCAGTTTTGCTAGGGCTTCTTGATGCCACACTTGGTCAAATGCAGCCTTGATGTCAAGAGCTGTCACTCTCCCCTCACCTCTGAAATTCAGTTCTTTTGTCCGTGTTTGAACCAAGGCTGCAATGAGGACAGGAGCTGAGTGGCTCTGGCGGAACCCTAACTGGGCATCACTGAACAGGTGCTGCTTGATAGCGCTGTTGATGACACTTTCCATCACTTTACTGATGATTGAGAGCAGACAGATGGGGCGGTACTCGGCTGGGTTGGATTTGTCTTGTTTTTTTGTGTATAGGATGTACTTGGGCAATTTTTCACGTTGCCTGGTAGATACCAGTGTTGAAGCTGTACTGGAACAGCTTGGCTAGGGGAGCGGCAAGTTCTGGAGCACAAGTCTTCAGTACTATTGCCGGAATGTTGTCGGGGCATGTAGCTTTTGCAGTATCCAGTGTTTCCAACTGTTTCTTGATATCACATGGAGTGAGTCAAATTGGCAGAAGACTGGTATCTGTAGTGCTGGGGACCAGTGGAGGAGGCCAGAATGGATCATCCATTCAGCAGTTCTGGTTGAAGATTGCTGAGAATGCTTCAGCCTTATCTTTTGCACTGATGTGCTGGGCTCTTCCACCATTGAGGATGGAGATATTTGTGGAGTCTCCTCTTCCAGTGAGTTGTTTAATTCACAACTGGATGTGGCAGGACTGCAGAGCTTATATCTGATCCGCTGGTTGTGGGATCATTTAGCTCTGTCTATCAGTTGCTGATTATGCTGTTTGGCATGCAAATAGTCCTGTTTGGCGTGCAAGTAGTCCTGTTTGGTGAATTCACCAGATTGACACCTCATCTTCAGGTATGCCTGGTGCTACTCCTGGTATGCCTCCTGCATTCTCCATTGAACCAGGATTGATCTTCTGGCTTGATAGTAATGGTTGAGTGGGGGATATGCCGGGCCATGAGGTTACAGATTGTGCTGGAGTGCAATTCTGCTGCTGTTGATGGTCCACAGTGCCTCATGGATGCCCAGTCTTGAGTTGCTAGGTATGTCCAAAGTCTGTCCCATTTAGCACGGTGATAGTGCCACTCAACACGATGGAGGTTATTATCAATATGAAAGCGGGATTTGGCCTCCACAAGGACTGTGCAGAGTGGTCACTCTTACTGATACTGTTATGGACAGCTGCAGCTGCCAGATTGATATGGATGAGGTCAAGTATGTTTCTCCCTCTTGTTGGTTCCCTCACCACCTGGCACTGATCTAATCTAGCAGCTATGTCCTTTAGGACCTGACCAGCTCAGTCACTAGTACTACTGCCAAGCCACTCTTGGTGGTGGACATGGAAATCCTGCACCCAGAGTACATCTTGTGCCCTTGCCATCCTCAGTGCTTCCTCCAAGTGGTGTTCAACATGGAGGAGTACTGACCCTCAGCTGAGGGAGGATGGTATGTGGTAATCAGCAGGAGATTTCCTTGCCCATATTTAACCTGAAGCCATGAGACTTCATGGGGTCTGGAGTCAATGTTGAGGACTCCTAGAGCAACTCCCTCCCGACTGTATACCACTGTGCCACCACCTCTGCTGGGTCTGTCCTGCCGGTGAGACAGGAGATATCCAGGGATGGTGATGATGTCTGGAACATAGTCTTCCTCATGAAATTGTATCCTATAGACAATGCCAGCTGTTGCTTGACTAGTCTGTGAGACAGCTCTCCCAATTTTGGTACTAGCCCCCAGATGTTAACGAGGAGGACTTTGAAGGGTTGACAAGACTGTTTCTGCCGTTGTCTTTTCCAGTGCCTAAGCGGATGCCAGGTAATCTGCCTGGTTTCATTTATTTGAGACTTTTTGTAGGAATTAGTACAACTGAGTGGCTCACTAGGCCATTTCAGAGGGCAGTTAAGAGTCACCCACATTGCTGAGGTCCTGGACTCACATGTAGGCCAGACTAGGTGAGGATGGCAGATTACCTTCCCTGAGGGACATTACCGAACTAGATGGGTTTTTCCAATAATCGACAATGATTTCACTGTGATCAGTAGATTCTTAATTCCAGATTTTTTTTTATTGAATTCAAATTACACCATCTTCCATGGGGGTATTCGAACCCAGGTCCCCAGAACATTTAGCTGAGCTTCTGGATTAATAGCCCAGCAATAATACTACTAGTATTATACTATCACCTACGCCTGAATGCAAATAAGTCTGCATCTGTCTAATCAAGAAAATTTGATATGAGTGTTGCAGCATGGGAAGTTATGGCTTACAGTTTTTACAGACAAGTAAGAATTACCTGGAATTGTCGAATACCTCACACAGACAAAATCCAGTTAAATATATCCTTTC